TATTAGCTATTTGTTTGCAAGTGCCGAAATCAATTTTATGGCCTGTCTGATGTTGGTGCTGAAACAAAGCAGATGTTGTTTGTTTGTTTCTTATGGCTAAACGATGTTCCTCGAGCCTGGCTGAAATCCTTCTGTTGGTCTGTCCCACATACGTCAGGCTGCACGATCCGCATGCTACACTGTATACTCCTTGGTTTTCCAGAGTAATTTTTTGTTTTGGGTTTCTTAGTATTGCTCCGATGGTATGGTCAGGTTTGTATGCCGTTGATATGTCGTGTTTCCGTAATATTCGGCCGATTTTGTCAGTAACCCCCTTGATGTATGGCAGGACAGCGATCGATCTTCGTTGGGTCTCGTCCTGCACTCTCTGCTGCGGCTGTTGTTGTTTACTGATTGCCTTGCTGATGGTGCGCTTTTGGTATCCGTTTTGTCGAAGACAGGTACTAATTTTCTTCAGTTCTTTATCTCTGTTCCTCTCGTTTGTGAGCCTGAAGGATCGAGCAATTAATGTATTTGCCACTGCCTGTATCTGTGATGGGTGGTGATGAGATTTAGCGTTCAGATATCTATTAGTGTGTGTTGGTTTTCTATAGACAGTGTATTCCAAGTGTCCATCTTCGGTTCTTGTGATGTGCACATCCGTGAATCAATACGTGAGAATATCATACACCTTTACGGGAAGGAGACCTTTACAGCCACCAAGTGTTATGAAAAACTAAGACAAAGGAGGGTTATTTCGCTGTACAACTTGAATTTTCTTAAAAACTGCCGCAACCAGAACTTGCTGCCAACATTTACAAGGTTGTCTTATCATACACGCACCAGAAAGACACAAGCTATCCTGGACAAAGCTAGCAAGGCCCTACTCCAAGACCAGATCAGGCGGACCCGGTACGAAATTAGTGAGACTGAGCTACAACTTTTCAGACTCCACCTGAAACTGAGCAACAAGATCCATCAGTTGCTGTGGGACCGCATAGAATTATTAACATCATGGCGCACTGAGAAAGACAAGGACATCACGTCAAAAAAACTGTGGAAGAAATTAGAAATCCTTCAGTCAAATTCCAAAAAATCAGGACAAGTGCCAAATACAAACCGAAGCAGTACAGTTCATAATATTTCAGCATACCATCTTTCCGATACAGAAGTCAGCGTACTGAATAAAGGATTTAACTACGCAATAGCTCCAAAAAGAGTACCCGTCGAATAGATCGTTTCCAACGTCGAAGTAAGTCTTTCCACCATAGACGAACAAGATGCGGAGTTAATTAGGCAAGATGTCCCCAGAGTCTTAAGACAGTCAAAACCACCGCAACCAAACTTAAGCAGAGAAGAAATGCAAGCCTTAAGGAATCTAAACAAAAACGAAAACATTCTAATAATGCCAGCAGACAAAGGAAATGCCACTGTCGTCATGAATACGTCGGATTATAATGCAAAATTGGAGGATATTTTGAACGACCCAATATACAAACTAGTCACCAGAGATCCCACGACATATTTGGAAAAAACAACTAAGTCTAAAATTCTCGATTCATCAATAAACGAGGATACAAAGAAGAAACTTATTCCGAGGGAAAAATCGAGTCGTTGCCCAAAATTCTACGGGCTCCCAAAGATCCATAAGGACGGGGTTAACTCACCATTATGCAAGCTGGAAAAACATCTGGCCAGTGCACTTCAGCCTATAGTGGAAAAGGCAGATCCTATGTTAAAAACTCAGAACATTTCACTCAGATTTTAGGTTCTCTCAGGATGGACAAGGACGACATTATGGCAAGTTTCGATGTCAAATCCCTCTACCCGAGTATTCCAGTAGAAGAGGCACTCTTGCTTATAGAAGAAAACGAAGATCTTCCGCCATACATAATGGATCTGTCAAGACATTGCCTGAAAAACGCTTATTTTATGCACAACGGGAAAATTTACCGACAAATAGATGGAGCAGCAATGGGATCATCTCTCTCACCTGTGATTGCCACCCTCTTCATGATTTACTTCGAAAAGAAAGCAATAGAGAAGGCAAATCTGAAGCCAAAACTATGGACAAGATACGTTGATGACGTCTTTTGTTGTATGGCCTTTTGGCAAGGAGGAGCTTTTGAAATTCCTAGATCATCTGAATTCCATTCACCCAAGGATTCAATTTACAATAGAACTTGAAGAGGATAACAATCTGCCCTTTTTAGATATGCACATCACAAGGACCGAAGATGGACACTTGGAACACACTGTCTATAGAAAACCAACACACACTAATAGATATCTGAACGCTAAATCTCATCACCACCCATCACAGATACAGGCAGTGGCAAATACATTAATTGCTCGGTCCTTCAGGCTCACAAACGAGAGGAACAGAGATAAAGAACTGAAGAAAATTAGTACCTGTCTTCGACAAAACGGATACCAAAGGCGCACCATCAGCAAGGCAATCAGTAAACAACAACAGCCGCAGCAGAGAGTGCAGGACGAGACCCAACGAAGATCGATCGCTGTCCTGCCATACATCAAGGGGGTTACTGACAAAATCGGCCGAATATTACGGAAACACGACATATCAACGGCATACAAACCTGACCATACCATCGGAGCAATACTAAGAAACCCAAAACAAAAAATTACTCTGGAAAACCAAGAAGTATACAGTGTAGCATGCGGATCGTGCAGCCTGACGTATGTGGGACAGACCAACAGAAGGATTTCAGCCAGGCTCGAGGAACATCGTTTAGCCATAAGAAACAAACAAACAAACAGCTAATATTCCTGATTTTAGGACTAGGATTATACGAGAGGCCATCGAAATAGAAAAGTCCGGACACCTCAATACGAGAGACGACGCTCTGCATTTATCCAACACGTGGAGAACGTTAATCAAACAGCAGAGCGATGCGCAGCAGCCAACGGGGACATCGCAACTACGATCGGGCGAAATTAACAACGCGACAATTCAGGGGGCGGAGCCACCTCCCCCCACGCACAAGCAGCACCGTTACCATCTCCGGCGCAGAGTATAAATACCGCACGTACCGCTGATAACCTCCCAGTGTTCGAAGAGTTTTCGGAGCGCGAGCATTGAAGATGCCAAGTGAGATTTTGGCGAAACGTCTGCAGGATTCCAGTCGGATGCAGGATTTGCAGAATTCCAGTCGGATGCAGGATTCCAGTCGGAGTTCAACGAGCGAACGGATGATATCCCGGAATATAGTGTCATCACATTTTTCCATCCGTGAATCAATACGTGAGAATATATATATATATATATATATATATATATATATATATATATATATATATATATATATATATATATATATATATATATATATATATATATATATAAAGCCGTCGTGCTTGATCTGCACTTCCATTTCCTCTTCCGTAGGAAAAATGCATATCGCGATATTCAGTATTTGAATATTTTAATTGTGACAACGACTTTTTCAAATTTCATTAAGTCCTGTTAGGTAAAATCGCATTTACAGGTAAAATGAGAACCGAGAATAAAAAAGTCGGTTTGTGGCAAAAAGATAACACTTATCGACTTAAAACAAGAGTAAGGATTTGTGATTCTGCTTAAAGCAGGTCGATTTGATTTTGCATTATCAGTCTAAATAAATAAAATACAGGGAAAATAAAAACAGGTAGGTAGGTAAAGTGCCCTCTAGTGACAGATTTCTCAAACAAATTTATTTTGTAACGATGACTTTTACTAAGTCAAGGCTGTGTGTAACATACCAGATTATCCCGTCGTGTTCCACTGCGTTAAAAATAAAATTAAAAAAATGAATTTTGACAAGATATAACTCGGAAAATATTACGATTTCGAATTTCTGCGATAAATAAATGAGAAACTATTTTGCCTTACAAAAGCAATAAAAGTAGCTTTGCTATTATGCGACATTTTAGTAAACAAACTGTTTAAAGTCGTATCCACCAGAGAAAGTAATTTTAAAAATGAAAGACCATAAAAGTTTGGTAAATGTTGAATGAATCTACTCAAAACTTGAATCTTTCTTTTCTAATGTAAACTGTCTAATACAAAATTGAGGAATATCGTTCAATACTACATCGCGTAGAGTGAAGAAATTCTGGAATTTATTGAAGTGTATAATTGCATTTTGTTGCAAAACAAAACAAAAAGTATCTAAATGCAAAGTTGGCTGCAGAGCAGTTTTAAGAAAAATTAAAAATATTATTATTATTATGCGGGATTGTATTATGCTGGAATTAACTAGAATATACTCCATACCTACAAAAACAATCGAATATGCTTTTAATAGAATAGAAAAAAAAATGGAATACGGAATTTAGTTTTATAAGATCCACGCGAATTTGAGTAGACACTTTTTCAAAAGAATGGTAGCGCAATATGTCATTCACGCTTGACGCAAACGCTAGGAAATCTGATTGATTATGCCCGTAATGGAGAAACAGGCCAGACAGGGCTTCAGCTTGTAATAATGATGATCGTGATCAATAACCGTAAAAAACAGAAAGTAATATTTCATTATCTCCTCTGTTTTTTGAAGTCTTTTTTATTGCCTTTAAAAGAGACCAATCGGCTAAAAAGCGGCATTATTTCGTCATGCTTTTTCCGAAATCACCCTAAATCACCAATAAAAAAAATATATTTTGGAGAGTCTTTAAACGAAATTCAGCAAACAAATTTTGGAACTTTCATGGAGGAGGATAAATAATGTCGAAAAAGGTTTATGGAAGCAAACATTTTATATTAGTCACGATATTAGTTGAGCAGGCAAACAAATTAAAATTAACAAAAAAAAATCTGGATGCTGGTAAATAAACGTTTTCTTCAATACATTTTAAAATTTTACAGGTCTCATAACAGAAGTGGCTTATGAAAACATGCGATACGTGATCACTTGCGAGACAGGAGAATGAATCCAACATATTTCTTCCTCGATTTGTTTTGCCACAGCTCAAATACATTTTTTTTTTCATGAAATTAAAATAAATGAATTTGAAGGACTTACTGTTTCTCTGGTATTTTTCATTTGCGTACTGCCCTTCCACCAAGTAATAGTTGGTTTTGGACGAGAACCAACTACTTCGCAGGTAAGTTCATAAGTGTTCTCTGCAGACAGGGGCCTATTTTCCCCTACCAGTTTTACCCACAGTGGACGAACTGAAAAGAAAGAAATCGGATTTCAAAAACCCCATTGATTCGGGAACCGCTTCAAGCAAGCTCAGTTACTGTTGATTTGAATTAGAAATAACGTACTGCTAATTTTAGCTGGCATAGTTGAATGCTATCTAGCAATTTGCTAAAAAACACTTCAAACTGAAGAAAGAATCTACAATTCACAAAAGAGGATCATCAAATTCAAAAGAACGGTTAGTAGGGAAAACAATTTTGAAATCGGAAGCAGTTCTTAGTGGCCGATTTTTTGCGATGGTGAGTGTATTAAAATGCTAATATCTCCAAATAAATGTACATCTTGATTAAGAAATCGTCACAATCTTCAAAAGAAGTAACAGAATGGTACAAGCAATGAAATGGCATGAAATAGTAAGATTATAAAGTGAAAACTAGAGCATTCTATTGTCGAGAAATCATAATTTCGGGAATTAATTTTTTTACAATTTGTATCTCACTAATGAGCGAAATTTTACTAAAGCTTGTTTGACCCACTATCATTATTTTCACTAGTTTAATTGAGGATCACATCCTGGTGATTCGTGACGGATCACCCCTGGTAGGGTATTGCACCCTTCAGGAAATTTCAAAATAGTTGTTGGCTTATTCTAAATATTGAAGTCACGCATTAAGCAGTTAAGCCCACGGAGAGGCGGTGCCGCTTCGATTAGTCGCCGGCAAATTAAATGAAATGTAACACAAATCCGGAAGTTCGCATCTCTGACCTTTTCTTTCCGGAACAAAAAAAAATCTACAATTCCGAGGGGCAATCGACCGGAAACAGTTTTGCAGGCGCGTCGTCAACCGCCGATATATTTCACAATGCCGAACAGACACTGTTTTATTGGACTTTTCCCATTGTCTCCGTTTATTTCAGCGTAAAAATGTGCCGTAAAGCTCTCGGTTGTTCTTACGGATTGCGCTTTTCGTATCAAAAATTATCCACGCACGAACGTAATATAATGCAGAATGGCATAGTTATAATTAACAAGTTTCATTTAAAGAGTTCATTGGCCACTGAACTTTACCAAATAATTAAATTCTAAAATGACATAAATTCTAATAAAGAAAGACAATATCGTGTCGATTTTTAAATACATAGTTATTTGTATAACTAGTTCAAAAAGTGTATATTTATTGCAGGAAGCATGCCTAATGGAACAAATAAATATTTTGCACTTTTTGCACACAATATCTTTTCTGCGTTCGACAACAAAACGAAATAAGACTAAAAATAATTAAATTACACCCCAAAGTATTTTTTGCACTAGTGCAAAAACTAAAATATTTGCCTTGCCACGGGTTAGCAGATCTGTTGCCTATCATGAGAAGCTCGCTAGGAACATTGTCAGGAGGCATTGCAATAAATGACCAAAAAATAAATAATCTGTGCTTCGGAGATGATACAGCACTAATCGATAGCAGTCGACAAGAATTAGTCAATTTAGTTAACAGGGTAGAAACCGAAAGCAATAGGCTCGATCTGGAACTAAATACATAAAAAAACCAAGATCATGATAATTGATAGGGAACATAACAGCCATCCAAATATAAGTCATATTGGCCTCTTTGAAGTAGTTAAGTCATACGTATACCTGGGATTACTATTGACAAACACAGGCACATCGGAACAAGAAGTGAAGTGCAGGTGCAACTTGGCAAAGGTAGCTGATGGGAAATTGACCAAGTTCGTCAGATTTCAAGAGCCATCAAAAATCGGCTAGTCAACTGGTACTTCCAGTATTGGCGGAGTCTCAGACATGGACTGAACGCATAATATTGTAATTGAGCTTAATATTACCAACAGGCTTTCCAGTAAAATCAGACAAAAACAACTGAAATATTTTGGACATATATATGGAAAGACTGATCATTCAAGGCAAGGTGGAGGGACGTTGACCACGTACCAACTCTCTCCGACTCGATGGATAGACCAGATCACGACTAGCTGTAACAAGCCAATGCACGATGTCATCGAGATGAGAGACAGAAAGAGGTCTACTGTAAATTTAACCGCTGGATTGCCGGGATTCTCTTTCCATCAAAAATATTTCCTTGTCGCATTTTCTTTTTAATCCCTGGTAATGCTAATTTCATGCGTTCAAACTTCTAAGTGTGTTTTTTAAATCACCGGTAAGTGCTAAGTTGACGTGGCATTTCAAAAAATCTTGGCAATGCTTTATGCGAAAATTGGCATCCTTAAAACTTGCACTTTTTGATTTCCAAGTAGTAATGCTAATTTCCTATACGTATCGATTTTTACCATCCTTATGGCTACAATATTATCAATCTAGCTATTTTGAATTACCCATATAGCTACAGCTGTATGAAGGCCTTGCCTGTACACCGTTGATACGGGTTCTTTGAAGTCAACATAAAAAATGCTGGGAAGTGACATTTAGTATAGATATGCGCGAATCATTTAAAAACTCCCGACCAACATGGCTGCTAACAGTTCCTCAATTCGACAGAAAATGGCGCAAATTGCAGGTTATTGTGAGAAATTTTACTGGCTCGAGCGTTCGTTTTCTACTGCACACAAATGTAATCTCGCCCTGAGGCACACCAATTTTATTAACATTTTTTAATTTTGAAAATCTGGAAGAATTTTGGAAAAAAACAAAAACAAAGACAAAAATTATACATGCTGTGTTAAAAGAAACTCAGTCTCAGGAGCCTATCACTCGACTGTTAAAAATTTCTTAAGTAATTTAATAAGCATAAGTTTATTATTTTAATCCTTTGCATTGAACGTGAAATTTGCGGTTATAACTATTTCTTGTTCTTGGCCAATTTTCTTGAGGTAGCACGTCTTATAATCGAAAAGTAATTTAATATCCACATTGTTTTTAACATTTGTTTGGGTAGTTATCAACTACATAACTTTGTTATTAAAACAATAAATTGAAATAATCAACGAAGATCTCCAAGATTACCAGACTAATAATTTTTGGGTTAGTTAGAGCAGGCGAAAACTTTAACTGATGACTATTAGGTAGCACAAAATTCGCAAATCAATTAAACCACTTAACTCGTTTTTTCCCTGAGTTCCTGGCATATATTAAGGATATACTGTCAAAAACTGTCAAATTGTCGATCTGTTAACGAGAATTGAAATGTTGATTCCAAAGTGCTTGTGTTATCATCGTAGGTAGTAGTTATATGAGTGATACAACAAATTAAATGTCTTCTCAAAACATGAAATAAAACTCCAGATTCGTATTTTAAAAATATTAAAAAATTAATCGATAGCGAGATCGATATACTCCCCAGCTAAAGTCCAAAGTCAGTATTCAATCAGATGTTTCTGCAACTGCTATTAAAAAAATTATGGGAATTCAGGATATCCACAATATTAACCTAAAATTAAATTTGAGAATAATGTTAATAAGTACATAGCGCTGCCTAAATTACCAGCAACAAAATTTCAAAAATAGAGTGTCTATCTAGGATTCCGCAAATTAAATTCTCATTTTAAGCTAGGCCACCAGTGGTCGTGACCATTACATTGAATAATATATACTTGCAGCACGTAACCCAGTTCCGAACTTCATAACACCCAATATGAATAGTATATTTCGGGTTTGTTAATCAGAACTCAAGTTTCTGAATAATTTAACATTAACATGTAAATTCTGCGATTTGAACTAACATTTTAAACAAACAACGCGAATATCGACTAAACTTTTTGCGAATCCTGGCCGAAGCAACGGCAAGGATAAATTCAGTTAGGCAACGACGTATGTACACACGAGTGCATGTTAATTGTCTCTGTCTGCTCTCCAAATTTCCCGTAAGCCAAAACTCTTTATTATATCTGGCTAAGTGGCAGACAAGTTCGAAGCGTCTTAATTTGTTGTTGCTACACCGTAACATCAATATTGCGTAGAATATCGTCGGTTTTGGCGTAGAGTAGTTTGTGGTTTAATTAGCACCAAACTTGTCGAATTGTTTAATGTTCAACGGGATTTATTGGTATTCTTTGGGTAACGATGTATTCTATGCCAAATACTGATTTTAAACTAAGAACACATAAAATCTCACAAACTATATACAACTATTGTCATTCCTTCGCTTTATTTTTAGTACGTTCATAACATTTAGAAAAAAGTTTGATGCACGTCAGATACTTCAAAAATGTTTGGCGTTTTATGAACTTATCAATTTTATATAGTTAACATAAAATCTATATTAAACACTTTTACACCCAAAACAGGTTAATGAAAATTGAATAACTAAAATAGTATATTATGCAATATTAGTCATGAGTTTAACAAAGGTGTGGCTACTAAGCCGATTTGTTCAACTGACACTATGCGCATGCTTGACCGGCGCATAATTTAGTATTTGAAAGTAAGGAGAAGAAATCGTCATGAAAAAATCACAATTTAACAAATTAAAAATAATACTTCATACATTCCAACAAAATATTTGCTAGTTGCCATTAAACCTATTCGTTTATCGTTCCGATCGGTTCTGTTATTGTTGTCTCTTTTTAACTGTGTACGTTAGACAGAGAGAGATCTATTATTGGATATGTCCTATAAACAACGGAATAAACACAATTTTGAAACGTTATATTATTTATTTAACTTTTAGAATTGATCATTAAGTGGTTTATTTAAAGAAAAAACTGTAATTGGAAGAAAAATCATCCAGGAATAGACCTTTTAAGAGGATTAAATTTTTGCGATCGTATAAACAAGAAAAAGCAATTTTGTTTTGTTTGTACTGATGAGACATGGATATTTGAAAATCGTACAATTGGTCCTGGCAAGATATTAATATGAAAACTGTAAAAAGCACTAAAGTTCATGTGAACGGTATGTAATATTTCTGTGAGACACTTAAATTACAAATGTCACTTTACTTACCGACTAGTCCACTAATTGCAGCTTATAGCGCGTAGTATTTAAATTTAATTTTAAATATATTGCATAACATTTTTCTGTGTATTAGTTTTTGGGTACATTTTTGCAAAACAACAC